AGATCTAAAAACTTTGCGGCGGCTAGGGTTTCGACATGGATCTACAAGAGAACTAAAGTCAACTATTTTTATTTAATTGGGCTTTATCTTGTGTTTCTGATATTCAAGTTAATTTTGTTTTATTCCAAAAACGTGAACTCATAAAAGATTAATATTGGCATACAATAATATATCAAAAGAGGCATATGTAAAAACTCTTAAAACATTAAACTAATTTTATTTATTTTATGATGGATATGTGCCCCACCCAAATCCTAAATACATTCGCCAAGGCTCCAATTGTGGAAAATACCATTGCCCAAGAAACACCTTTAGCAACAGAGAATGTGACTGTTTCTACAGCACATCCAAGATATGTTATTGCCCCATCAACGACTGAGTTTTCTGTAGCGGAGACTACTAAAGTTGTATCAGCCACTACTCTTTCTAACTCACTTACATGCTCTGCTGGCCAAAGAGAAAATCAGAAAAATATTGAGCTTGATTTTGGTTCAAATAAGGTTTTATCATTGACTTCTTTGGAGGAAGCCGAAGATTCCTAAAATTTAGATAAAGAGAGTGACTTGATAGATCTTATGAAACCTTCATGTAAAATAATTCTGCGCAAAAGACCGATAAAACCATCAACAAAAGCTAACGAGATGCTTTGGCAACCGGCAAATCGTGGGCGAGGTAATCGAAGACGTGGAAACTGAGGTGAACACGGTTAGTCTTTTAAATCGAAAGATTTGATTGTATTTAATACATATGGTACTCAAACTTTGTAACGATTTCTTAAATATTGCATCAAGTGATGATAGGTAATAATTTTTTATTATATAAATATATTTCGGTTAAAAAAATTGTTTTATTTAACAAGTCATCTCTAGATAAAAATATATTTGGTATTAGGGTTAGTTTATCAACTAACAAAACAATTTAGTAAACTAATTAAAATTAGCCTATGTGGCATTGGTTAAATGGTTAGAGTTTTAGTTATAGTCATCTGGACATTTGGTCTACCTGTCCATTCACTAAACAAAATGTACATAACCTTCAAAAAAAATCTCGTAAAAGGAGTAATTACTAAAGGGTGAATTGGTTCATCCGCTATCACCCACAAACACAACGTTTGCGGATGGTAGCGGTTGTTGGCGTTTGACAATATTCATGAAAAACGTCTTATACCGCTCTGTGTCACTCCAAACCTTTCAAATCCAAAAGTTGTTTCCCTCGAAGTTTTACGGTTGCAGACAGTTGTGGTTGGATAATTAGAAAAATAAAAATTGATTTTTCTTTTCATCAGAAAAGAGAAAATTTACTCA